ACAGTCACAAATGAATGAAAAAAACTTGAAAGTTTACATATAAGTCATGTAATTGTAATTTTAAAAAATAATGAGAGAATATATACAAAATATATTTTAATTATTAACAACTCTTTATAGGATAATAGGAAAATAAGATAATAAATACAAAAGAATGCATTAAAAATTAGGAAACACTTTCACTATATAAATTTATTATTGATTTGTTATTATAATAGGTAATAGCTGGTCAGTTTTTATCCGACAAAAAAGTCGGGACGTATGTTGAAGTTGAAATGTATGGCCTACCAACCGATACGATACGCAAGGAATTTCGCACAAGAGTGGTTCCTGCCAACGGTTTGAACCCCGTTTACAATGAAGAGCCCTTCCTCTTCAGGAAAGTCGTCCTACCAGATTTGGCCGCTTTGAGATTCGCGGTATACGATGAATCGAACGGTAAACTGCTAGGACAGAGAATCGTTCCTTTGGACGGTTTGCAAGCTGGATATCGGCACATTGCATTGCGAACTGAGGCCAACTTTCCTATGTCTTTGCCTATGCTGTTTTGTAATATTGATATAAAAATCTATGTGCCAGATGGTTTTGAAGGTACGTTCGACATGTTTTAGTCGCATGATAAATCTCCGCTACTATTTATTTTTGCATTTGTATATTTATAATTTTAATAGATTATATAATTTTGTTCAAAATGATGTATTTCCTGCTACTTCTGTTAAATTGAACTATCTCACATAAGTATCTCATCTTTTCTGTTTAATATTGTCATTTAATGAATGAGTTCATCTTTTATTAAAAACTCTCAATTATAAAAAAAATAAATTTTAAATAAAATATATATACATATATTAATGATATTAATCGATTAATATTATAACTTAAAATTTTTTATAATCTTTTCAGAATTTATGGACGCCTTGACGGCGCCGCGAGCATTTAAAAAATCAGAAAGCATGTCGCAAACTAAAATGCGGGGTCTAGGAATTGAAGAGAGTGATAATAAAAATAACACGGATAACAAAAATAACGTATTATCTCATCACCAAGAGGCAGCAAAACCAAGAGGTATAAGATATGGATAAAATACAGAATTCCCAACTATGAGTGATGAATCTATACTTATTTTGTTTTTACAGAGGAAATGAAGTTCGATCCAATCACTCTCGAGACTCTGAGACAAGAAAAGGGTTATCAAAAAGTATTACGAAAACAGCAAAAAGAATTGGAGTCTTTGAAGAAGAGGCACCACAAGGAAAAAGTCACTGTCCAGAAGCAACATTGCGTAGCAATAGAGAAGATTTTTAAAGGGAAAAAGTTAGTCATTTTTGTACAATTTAAATTCGTTTCAAATTTTCTTCATATATTTGATAACAAATCTTGTAAAAATATTTGCTTAATTAGTAAATTAAATATCTTTCTCTTAATTAAATATGTTTCTTCTTCTATACAGAATTATAAAAGATAAGCAATTTTTATGGGTTTTCTTCAACAAAAAAATTTTATTTGAAAGTTTTTTTATTTATTATTTAAGATTAAATATTTCAGAATTGAAAACTTGAAGAAAAAAATTCTACAATTTTGAAATATAGCGTAGAAAAAATTTAAGATAATAATAGCAAACTGAATTTGGAACAAACAAAAAATATTAAAAAACACTACGAATTAATTCCAACACCTAATATTTTTTTCGAAAAAATTAAAATTTCTAATAAAACGGTTAAAATAAAATTATTTTAGCACATAGAACTAATACAATTTAAAGTTCATAGAATTGAGAGTTAAATATACACATTAAGAAAATAGTTGATTAAAATAATAGCAGAATAAATTCTTATAAAATAAAATAAAATAAGAGAGAAAGAGAGAGAGACACAAAAGTGATGAAAATTTTAGCAAAGCGGAACTTTCGAGGGACCCCATTGTTCGCCGTGCAGTTTCTGAACAGACGACCCAGTGGTCGCGTCTCGCCGACAGGCAGCGTCGGGAGGAACGCGATCTGATCCGTGGACATTTAGAAGAGCGACGGACGCAGCTGTGCAAATTGTGCATGACCGCGCAATTGGCACAACAGAAACAACAGACTGCGCGTCACGATCGAGAGATGAAAGAAATAACAGCACGACAGGCAAGACGGTCGGTGGAGAGCGCGAGGGAAGTGATGAGCGACAAGACTTTGAAGACACGCGGGATCAAGGAAGGCAAACTCAGGGAGCTGCAGCAGAACAACACGAAAAAGTTTATGGAGGAACGCAAAGTCGCTCAGATGATACAGAATAGGGAAAAAGAGAAACTAAAGGTCATCCACGAAAAACAATTGGAGGAGTTGCAAAAGGATGTAAACGCGGTAAGACAACAGACTCTCGCTAGGCTACAAGTTTTCCCAATAGTATAGCTTTACACATTTATTGCGTTTGCACATCAAAAACAATATATCTATATATTTATTATATGACTTGTAATCGTAAGTAATTTATGCAATCTAATATTGAACTCTTAAACGTTTATTTTAACATTCCATTGACAGATTAATAGATAATTTTGAAAATATTTTAAGTTTTTTGTGTATTTATTTTGATAAAATAAGTGTCGATGTGATATATACAGCGAATTTGATAAAAGAAAAGATTGTTAGAAAATCTAATTTATTGTACATTTCTGTTTCATAATTAAGCTGAATTCTATTTATTGAATTTACAATTAATTTTGTTATTGTATTTTTTCCTTATATTATTTTAATTATTACACTTTATTTAATATTTTATTTAATATCACTTTTTATTTTTTAGATAAATTTATTTTCTTGATATATTTTTTATTATATATCTCATATTATTTGTGATATTTTATATTGTATAACAAAATAAATAATAAGTTACAGATAATTTATGCAATAAAGTTTTTTTAATCCGAACTAAGTAGGACTACTAGTAACAGATTCGAAGTATCAAAATTATTATCTAATTATCTGAAATTATAGATTTTTGTTTATAGATTTATGAATTTTTTATTTGTACATGTTTCTTTATTTATTCTTATTTTAATTTGTGTGAAAAAGCCTTTAGAAAATGTATTGAAAATATATACTTAATACACTAATATTTTTTAAATTTTAATAATGGATTACTTTTCCAAGATTGTTTGTTAATATAATTATTCTCACACATTAAATTATCTTTTAGTACTAAATTTTTACCTTTGAGAATTAAATTTTCCAATGCCATATTAGCTGAAATCATTTGATCATATACAAAGTTTTTGTCAAAATTGTAGCTTAATTTTTAAGAAAATTTTAATTAAAACGATTAATATTTTTTACTATAAGTGATTATAATAATTTTCATCGTATACATTGTGAAATCTATTATAAAATATAAAGAAATAATAATACAAAAAGCTTTTACATGTATAAAAGATACTGTAAACTTTTATTCAATGTTTGAAATCTGTTGTTTGGAACAGATCTATGTTCAAATTAAAATTAAATAATATGAAATGCTTTAATAATATTTTTACATTAATAATTATTTTTAAAAAATTTTTAATACATATATTTTTTTGTCAATATATCTAATTTTATTTAATGTAATCTATTATGAGTCTATTAATGTATGAACTTATGTTTTTTTTATAAAATTATAATTTCTTAAATTACAAAAAATTAAAAGTTTTTAGTTAAAAAATAAATTAATTGATACAAACATGTAATTTATCTGAACATAAGTTTACTCCATTTAAATTCATTTATTTAAAATATTAAGTCCACTTTCCTCAAAATAATTGATTTAGTCATACAAACGACTTTTCCAGATCATGGATATGTACAAGAATGAGGATATGGATTACGAACCGGCTAAGATGCTGGCTGAATTCTACGTGTGATGAGTGCCAGCCAAGTTTTTCCGCAAATTTTCTCCGTAGCGAGAAATACATTGTGAAGGGGAGGACTGTTTTCAAACAATTTACTACTGTCGTTAATTATACTTGAAATTGGGATCAAATTTCATTAGATGTCGTTCTCGTATTTACAAATGTCGCATATTGTGAGAAAGAAAGAAAATAAGCAACTACATTAACGTTTCTAATTCATTCAGCCAAGTATTTTTTTATAAACAGACATTTTATGTCTCCATAGTTTCCGAGTACCTAGACTATCGAGGGAGTCAATACAACTAAAGTGATCTAGTCAAGTATTAAATATATATTATATTATACTTATACAAAAACGTATATCATATCGTGGCTGATGTGAAACGGATGATGCATCGTGCGATTCGTCGAAGTGAATATTTTTCGATTGTTAATGCTATTATCGAAGTCTATCAGAATGAAAAACATGTATGTGTGTGTGGGCGTGTGTGAAACTGTTGTCTGTATTCGTGAATCGATGCCTAATATTGGGAGGAACTTTCTCTGTTACCATGATTCCTAGACCATACATACCTTAAGTTGAGAGACGTTCACGGTCGGATCTAGCCGATAATTCTCGTGATTGCTGATAATGACTAGAGTATTATAGAGCGTTTGAGAATCTCGAGACCGCGCAATTTACAGTCGCGGACTATAATTTACAGATCGAAGGAAGCACCTCTTACATGGCCCTCACATGAATGGTCGCATAGGATTGTAAATAAACTTCAAACAAGAGCCTAGTATAATGATTACTACGTTGTTGTTTTCATTATAACATAAATATATATATATATATATATATATATATATATATATTGGATATAAAGGAAATAAAAAAAATTACGCAAACCACATTCGCAATTATTTCCGCCTTGCGAGTAATTATTTTCACATATTTGTACTTGCGATGAAAACTACAATGCGAAAACAATTATACTTTAAAAAGAATATTCTTTAAAACGGATATTAATTACTTTTGTTTAACTATCAAGCAATCGAACGTGTATATTAAATACATTTGAGCCTCAGAAATTTTCCATTAATTTTAAATAGATCACCTAGACAAAGATTACATTTTAATTATTTGAACACTATTTTCTAAATCATTTTTATAGACGAAGATGTTTTTATAAAATTATAATGATGTTTCATAATGGTCATGATCGAGATAATGATCATGATCGAGTATGTCAGACTTGACGTCATCAACAGCAAATTCTTCATATGGAGCTAAAACAAATTAATATTCTCTATTCGTGTCTACAAAACATAATTATGATATGTATCATTTTAAAATAATATTATAAATAATCTCTAAAAATACAATATTTTAAAATTATATCAAATTATCATAATGTTTCTAATTTAAATTATTAGTATATTCAAGCAGAACAACAAGTTATAATAATGTCAAAATATTAAAGTGAATCATAAATTTAATTAAATTAAAAGCTATCTTTTAGTAATCATTTTGGAGCTATTTTGATATCATTTTGATGTCATGATAACTTGTATTATACTTGAAGTATTTTCCTTTTCAGACATTTCCATTTTGTTGTAAAAATCATATCATTTTTTTACGAGCATGATCGATTTAATGAGAATTTACGTTTTTATTTACCGGAATGGGACACGATGTGATCTACGTCATTGTCTGATTCTATAATTGGGATGATTCTCTCATGATGATGCTCTACATCAGCCTCCTGAATTTCTGCGGGATCTCCATAGTTCGCGGGCAACTCTATAGCTTCGTGATTATTAAGCTGCACATTTTGATAACTGGTAGCGCCATAGCCATGATAAACCGCATGGTGCGAGTAATCTTCATTTGATATTATGCCCGCCTCGCAAACCGCAATTAATAGAGAGAGAAACAACTGGAATATAGTAAATTTAAACACACTATGACGAAAAAGACGTAAGTTAGTTTAATTTTTTATGTTAATTTTGCTAAAGTATAACCGACGATTCTCAATTCATATACGATCTTTCGAGTCGAGCTAAGATTAAATATTAATTTGTAACACAATTTTGAATAATAATTTGTCATAAAGTTTATATAAAAAAATATTAGAGCATTTTTGGATTTAATTACTCGATTTTTCTAATTATTCGTCGCGACAATTCTTATGCGATATATGAAATTATATACAATTCTTTTATGCACATCACAATTGCACGATGAAAAAGATAAAATTTAGTTCTTTTTTTACGTCACTCTTATATAGTTTCCACTGTTTTCTTAATAATTTCTTCAACGTTCACTTACATAGTAACTCATAATGAATTCACTTCTTGGACAGCTCAGTAGACTTTCTTATACTGAAAGTATCTTCTCATGGATGCTATTTTATACAACGGTGGCCGTATAATATTGCGTAAGTTTTATGTGAATATTACGCATCATGGGCGGATGTTTACAATTCGTGCTTCATGGCGTGGATTCGTGTGGATGCGAATCCATACATAGCATGTTTGTACATAGGTATGAGAAAGCCGGCCGGTTACACCCGCGAACGTGCATGTGTAGGCCATTTCAAAACGCCGAGATAGTTCACCGTTTCATTGCCGAATTATGCAACGAGTGGTGTTGCGCGTAAGTGAGTGACGAAATCGTGCGATTCTTCGAAATCTCGGGAATAAGTAGAAAGCTCACCAGCGCGATGCTATTAATTCCAACTCCAGTAAAATATTGATTTTATACAACCAGTTTCTGACGCGATAAAAAGAAAGGGAAGAAAAGTTCTTTGGTGATCTGCGTAAGGACTGTTATACAAGTAGTCTCATTTCTTCTTTCAAATACGGAAAGAATGAAATATTTAAAAATTTAGCCAAATCTCAAAATAATTTTAAACAGTCAAAATGATTATATAAAAAATTCAAGTATGATGAACAAAAAGCTTTAACATTCGAACAATTAGTTTGAGCGTCCTACATAATTATTTTGATAACAACAAAATTATTTTTTTATCTGTATTTGACTGAATTTTTAGATACTTCTCACTAAAATCGTCCTTTTTGTATAGAAGTTTCGTGATAAATTTTTACCACGAAACTTTTTTGAATTACACATTAATAATTAAATACTTTGTTAAATGAAATTAAAATACTTTGTTAAATGAAATTAATTTTATGCATAATTATATATTTGTATTTTATAATTGTGATCTAAACTCTGTAATTATGATGTGTAATGTTTAATGATGCGATTCAATTCCTGAGAACTATTAAAGAAGCTTAATAATAGTGGGATTTCATAAGTTAAAGAATTATGATTTCGACGCACTCTAGATAAGCGGAAGATGTCCGCAACTTCGTAACGTAATTGTACACTTACGAAATTTTTATGCATATAATTGCTTCTCTAGATGAAAGTTTGCGATATTTTACAGTTGGAAAGTGTCGGCACTAAGGTCGTTTAGTGTTTATAATCTTTATGTGAATCTTATCAAGAGATTATTAAGATATTCACAGAATAAAGATTTATGTTTTGAAACAGGACAGACATCGTTTTATTAAGATTAATTTTAATTCCTTAATTAAGAAGCAAGGTAATTATTCACGTAAATTGACAGTTTAAATAATGTAAAATCTAAATATGTTTTATAATATAAATTATACGTTTATATTATTAACTAATATTTATTAAACGCACAATTTTCATATTTTCAATTATGATTTACGCTCGTGTAAATTTTGTTTTTATACTGAGAAGAAATGTATTGAATTTTAATAAATGTTTATTAGAATAGTGCCAACTAAACATTCACTTACAGTAAATAAATATTTACTTAAGAAAAAATTATTATTAAATTAAATTAATAGTTCTTGTATCAAAAAATGTATCTTTACATTTAATAAGTATTTAGTTGGTACTTTTCAAACAAAAAATTTATTAAAATTTAGAATACTTTTTTTCGGTGTATTACAGACTGAAGGTCTCCATCAGAATGAAGCGTCAAGAAAATGTATTGTAAAATTTCAAAATTTAAGAAAAAATGAATACAAAGAAATGATAAAGAAAAATAATTTTATTATATTCTTCAGATTAAATTTGTATCAGTTTTGACAATTCATTTTGACAACTCGTAGCATTTCCTGATTGCTATGAACATTGTATTGTTCTGATATAACATTTTATAATTTACAATTTACAATTTTACAATTTACAATTTTCCATTGCATTTTACAAGTTTCATATTTTCAATTTAGAAAACGCTGGTCAATGTGAGCCGACATGAAATCATCAGTCGATCATTTAATCTTAAGCGCATTTAGATATGTTCTCATTTTGCGTAGTTTGACATATCAATATCGATCGTTCGATCAAGCATTCTACGCACAATGGGGCTTAACTATAATGGAATCGTGATCCGGCTGCGGAGCATACACAGGTGATGATGCATGAACCACAGGTTTTACGTAGGATACCTGCGGTGCCTGCACGTGCACCACTTTCGGCGACGCGTACTGAATGGCGGGCGCATGGACCAGCGGTTTCTGGTACAGTATCTGGGCAGCGGGTGCCTCGTACTTTTTAAGGAGGATTTTCGGCATCACATCGTGGTATATAGGGCTCTGATACGTAGGTGCGTAATGCAGCGGCTTCTGGTAAATCGGCGCGTAGGACGGTGCGATGGGGCTCTGGTAGATAGGCATCATGGGTTTGATGTATTGCAACGATTGATGCTGCGCATGGTAATTTACCACGGGAGTTGTCGGTTTCACGTACGTGATGGTCGGCTTCTGTACCACAGAAGGATAGGCGTGAGGCTGTTGGATGTATTGCAGGTGAGCTAAGGGTGCTATACCCAGCTCTTTCTTCAAGTAGGCCGGTTGGACTAGGGGCTTAACGTAGACCGGCGGTGGTGAGTAAGCGGGAACATGCGGATAGATCGGTTGCTGAATGGGTTCACAAGGTTGGATGGAATCTCTCTTTGCCTTCAGCATTGAGGCGTCCAATGTTTTGTCCAGCGACTCGACCGGCATATCTATGTGCATCCCGGTCTCCGAGCACACCGTTGACAGCCACAACAAGCATGGTATCTAGGAATTAGATTATATAAGGCCAAATTGTTATGAATGATGTAAACAAGAACCTGTTAAAAGATTATATATATATATATATATATATATATATATATATACAAAATCAAGTATAGAATGTGTAAAATATTTAATATATTTGAAGTATACTTGAAACATACTTTTTAAAATTTGTAAAGAATAATACACGTTTGCAAGTATTATGTTGCATATTCGCTAACTATAAATATTTTATTTGATAATTAATATATTAAGGGCTACTTAGAAATTAAATTAAACTCTCTGGGGGAGTTCTCTTAATCAAAATTAATTCTCTGGGAATCTATTTTTATAATTTATTATCAATTTGGAAATTACAAAATAAAAAGCATACTGAATACTTTATTGCTTAACTCTATTTGAAATCGTTTTATCAGGTATTATATGGGTATTGTATAAGAACATAAAAATTGTATATAAAAATGAACGTATTATAATAAATTTTAAATTGAAACAGACATTAAAAAAGATAATAGAAGCAAGCAAAAGTAAATATCTTTATTAATAAAAAAGTTATAGCATAGTTAGATAAAAGAAATCTCTGGGATGCCATACTCAGGTGGCATCAAAGGGTGGCATTAAATCTATCACGGAGCAATATTACATCGGTGTGCTTACCAGTAGTTTGAACATGATTTTGCTTCTGTTTCCGTTGAATTGCACGACGACCAATAGATCGGGAGTTCTGGACCAAACTAGAAGCACGTCACTTGTAGTCCTCGGTTTTATAAACTTTTGCTCCACTTAAAGAGGGCAAGTTTCTTGTTGAAGTCGAATGTGATTCCCTTAAGCGGCGTAAAAAGCGGTCGCTAGATCCATGATGCAATCGTACGCGCCCCGGTATTTCCTGAATAAATTCTGTGACAACGTGAGTGAGTGACCACCTCGGGAATGGCGACACATTGCGTCGTTGACATTATTCGTCGTAGTTTATCCATGCGGTGGACACGCCAATCTGCCGTACAAGCCGAACACTGCATCGTGAAATATCGCCTGAAGTGTCGCCTGTAGGAAAATAGTTACGTATATAATTTATAATAATTACAAATGCATTTCACGTCTGAGCAAAAAATTAGGCGCACCTGAAGTATTTATTGTATGCAACCCTATGTCGCCGGGAGCATTGAAATCTCAGAGATTTTAAATTTTTTAGAAAATTAATGTACAAAAAAGACTTATCAAAAAAATACTAGTGTAACTATGTATGCACATGCATATTATATATATTTATATACTATATATTTAATTCAATATATTCAATTTATATGTATATCAGATAATTATACGAATTTTAAGATTTAATTATAAGAATAATTTATGTAATATGCATTTTTATCATCTTATATATATTTTATATATTTATGCTATATATAATGTCGTTATTAAGAAATTACTTTGTTTATTACGTTATTTAATTCAAATATGTTTATCAAAGATATAAAAAAATGGGTAAAAAAAATTTAGCTAATACAGATCTAAAAATAATTTTGTTTAATCATACAAATAATTGTGTAGAATACTTAAACTGATTGCTAGATTGTAAAAATTTTTTGTAGCATTATTTATGCTTGAGATTTCTACATAATTATTTTGATAATCCAACAAAATTATTTTCAGATCTATCTAATTAAATTTTATAATACTTTAGCAAAATCATCAATTTTTTTCCATGTAATTATATCAATTAAATGTTCATAATTAATTTTTCTATAATTCTAAACTTATTTAAATAATAATAACTAGTCCTTGCATAAAAAGAAACAATTTATTTATCAGTTTGTTCAACAATTTATTTAACAAATATAAATGTTACATTTATAACAATGAACTATGTACATACATCACAACGCTTATGACTTAATATTGCTCGTGTAACGCTTGTCGCTATTTTTGGCATAAAGATACTGAAGAGAATCGCCTAAAATGAATCAGTGCTTCTTCCAGTGTCCTGAACCGTGTCCTGAGCTCTTATGATGAAAAACGTGCTTGTACACTGGCACGTGAACTGGATACGGTTTAGGTATTGGCACTGGAAAGTGCTTTTCCACTGTCACTGGATACGGCTTCTCGACGACATATGGTACCTGCAACGCAATACGTTTATAGATATTCTCTCTCTCTCACAAAGTTTAATAAAAATTTTTTTAGAAACATAAATTATCCTATAATTATTGATCCCTTTTAATATCACGTTATTTTATATAGATCATCAATATTTTAAATTTCAAAAACACAATTAATTTAAATAATATAAACAATATAACATTTTTATAATATTTAAATAATATAATATTTTCTATATAATCTTGTTTCTTATTAGCTGTGGAAGAAAATAACAATATACTTATAATATCACAAAGTAAAAATTATATTAGATGTATAGTATCTAACTTTTTTCTTTACGACGATTTATTACAATTTCATATAATCTTTTAAAAATATTTATTTACAATACAAACCTTCTTCTCCACGACATACGGTTCTGGTTTCTCTATAGGTATCTCAATGTGTTTAATAACTTCCACGGGTACCGGATGTGGAACTGCAACTTCGACTTGATAGGGTTGAGGTATCGGAATTTTAATTTGCTGAGGGACTGGAACGGCAACTGGGTGCGGAATTGGTATCGCGTATTTCTTGTAGATAGGTATCTCCACTGGCTTAGAAGTTTCGTGATATGTAGTACTACTGTGGTCCTCATCGTGGTAAGAAGCCCACACTGCGGCCACCATTGTGGCAAGTACCTACAAGTGTAAGTGAGTCATTAAAATCACTGAGTTCCGAAGTAGAATGTCGCCAAGATCGTTAACCGCTTTCTAGTCGCGATGCTCGCGATAGTAAACTCTTCTTCTAGACAGTTTCACGAGATAACTGTATCTAGTTGAACGCACAGATCACTCGTTTTTCTAATTGCCTTACCAAACCATATTCGGAATGGTGTCACGCAGAATGTAGTAATTTCGTAAGAAATAACTAATTGCAACCTTGTCTCGTTTATCGACTGAATTACTCTTCGTGAGAAAAGTAAGATTTGTTTTTCTGCTTTCCCTTTATACAAGAAATTAATGATTACTTAACATTTACGGAAAAAATAAATTAAAATTAAATATTTTACTGTTGCTGTCATTTTCAAGAAATACTAATATAGTATACAAAAAATGTATTCACAAGAACGTATTTAAATAACAAGAAATTGACTCTTCTTTACTTAATTAATAAAAAAATTTATTTAAAATATAATTTTAATATAAATTAATAATTAAATATTTGTTAGACATTATATTCTAAACTAATATTGTCTATTAATAACTGCAAGTATAAATAATTTAATTATATATATAAAAAATAATCCTCTCTAGAAATATAATGCAAAAACACAATACTAAAACTAATGCACAGTACAATATCAATGTGACGAAAGTACTCACAAAAAGTCTCATGATTTGCGAAATCACGCGCCGAAGACACCGTGAGACAATTGATTCTGCGATACTCGTCTGTGGAAACGCGCAATAGATTCTACGATGCTTTCAAAGTCATGGCTAACTCTTTATATACCAGCACTACTTTCTCCCTTCTCTTCATTACGTTGATTGTAACAATTCGCTATATTCAAGTGCACTCTTGCGCGTACAAATGCCAGCTGCACGAATATAATGATAAATACCGAGAGTGTAATCCTGGCCCATGTTTTTTACGCTCACTAAGGTTAAAATGCGTGAAATAAATTACTAAAACTTTATATTATAGGTAATTTTGCATTATGCCTAGGATTTCTGGATAATAAGCTATCCGTCTGCATATTAATTATCTTTTCATACTTAAGACATTACATATATATGCATGTATTACAATGTGGTAAAATATAAAGAATATAACAAAATAATACTTTATAACCATTATTAATTAACACCTTAATTAATAATAGCTTGTCTCTAATCTGAATACCATAATGAAACGATTTGATGAAGGGAGTCTTTAATAGCTATCATCAATTAACGTCATTAAATGTATTTTTGGTATTAATATATAAATAAAATTGTATAACAAATACATTTGTAGCAAATCTTCTTCAGCAAAATTGAAATTGATCTTTTTGTCAATCAATAGCATTATATAATTTTTGATAAAATATATCTACTGTTTTAGAAATAATATTTAAGTGTAATTTTCTGTTTTTTTTTATTTTCTGTAAATAAGTATATTGTATGTAACCTTTTATTATGCAGAATTTCGAGATAAGATAAAGATTATCCAATTGAATCGTTAACAAATTAGATATTGTGTAATAATGTTAGTAGCTTGCTGCACACATCATTTACACTAAGTACGTAATACTAATTACGTGATATAATTTTAAATTGTACATATATATGTAAAAAATATTATATAACTATATATATATATACATATATATACTAGTTTTAATATTCTTTAAACTCACTATTATTAATAAAATCTTTGTACAATATTATTTAAAACTTTATAGTAAAATTAGAAAAAAAAGATTATTTTCTTTGAATGAAAAGACTAACAAAACTTAAAGATGTAATAAAGAGAGAGTGATTATTATTGACATTGACAAAAAGTTATATGATTATTGCGTATCAAACTTTCCATCTGTTTACAAGCTGTTATATTGTAGCTTCTAGAATCGGGAATCATTATAAACTATACTATAGTCAGGACTTTAACAAACATCGGGGGTTTTTGCTATTTTCAGTGCTTAATGCTATTTTCATTGTTGAGAAGATAAAAGAGGGCAGGTATAAATGCATTGTGATAATAACAATCTGCACACTTTATTATTTTTATTATCGTTTCCGTTGCTTTTAAAAGTTATTCTTCCAGTGATCAAGTATAATCAGGTGATAAAGTAATTCTCACAATCAGACATAAGGAAAGAGTCTCTCTGGTGCAGTTACATGCAATTGTTTTTCAGTTGCGTTATTCTTTCATGCTTGCAGTTGCGTGTATCACTCGTGAGACGAAGATCAACGTAAATGTGGTAATGTGGTAATGTCATGGTCTAGTTTACTTGTTCAACAATCTGTGAATGAACATGATTGCATGATTGCAATTCACAAAATGCAGATGCAACCAACAGAATGCTGTGGAAGCACATCTTATTATCACTGAATAGATTATTTATTCACTGGCACCTAATTTTCTTTTTTAAAAATTTAAAACTTAATTTTAGTTATACAGTTTTGCTCTAGTAAAATTAGTCCATATACAACAATATTTGAGAGCTAATTAAAAAACTAAAAACTGAAAAACTGAAAAATTATGTTTATTTTTAATAACATCTGTCATTAATATACAAAATAAATTTGGTAAAGTGTCTAAAAATTTAAAGATTTTGCTGAAATATCTATTATAAAAATTTAGATACAAATTTATAAACGAATTTATATACAAATCTAAAAATAATTTTGTTGGGTCATCAAAATAATTATGTAGGAAATTCGAGCATGATAAGCAACGCTGCAAAAAGTTAACATTCTAACAACTAGTTTGAGCGTCCTATATATAAATTATTTTGATAGTTCAACAAAATTATCTTTAAATCTGTATCGAACTAAGTTTTTAGATATTTCAACAAAACCATCTTATCATATAATTAATTAATCTTTTTAAAGCATTTTAATGTTGCAAACTATGTTACTCTAATTAACAAATTAATTTTTCAAACAATAAAAAAACATTTAGTATTTTTGTGACAGTAATGAACCATAAATCGCAGAATATATAATATCGCAAGTGATAAAACAGCTACAAGCATGGCCGCATCAAGTCGACGCAGATAATTGATGCAGAGGTAACGATTTATGAAAGGCACCGACGCCGAGGGTGTGGTTGTGCGACAGCGAGAGGGGATTAAGATTTGAATCGTGTGCGATGCTATCGCCGAGCGGATCAGTGAAAGTGCATTTCAAGTAAAAGTGGTTTCGCACGTCAATGTAAGAACGCGCGCCACACTCCATTACGGTGAATCGAGACCGCGCGCGAACCTCCCTCACGGTTGTTACAGCTAGTTTCTTTCTAGGCGATCCTAATCAAGCCGTCGGCGAGGAAACGAAACAGTAGATTACATATTTTTACAAATTACATTTTGTAAATTACATTTATTTTACACGGAAATTTATATATCACCGCGAATATGATAAAGCGACTATTTTTACTTATCTAATAATTAAATAGTAATTATAATATTAATTTATTATTGAAATCATAAATAATAAAGCAATAATGTAATTAAAAATAAATAGTAATTGATTTAAAAATAAATTATACTTTAAAAATCAAATTCAAGTTTCATGCTTGGAATAAAATACTTTACTTTGTTCCTTTTTTTCTAATACAGTACGGAAAACATATAATTATTGTGCGTGGAATAGATTTAAATCATTTTTTTTAAATCGAAAGTTAATGTTTAAATTAACAAATAATAAAACACTTCAGATTGACAACATTTATTAACAAATATTAAAAAATTAATATGTATTTTATATTAATTAAAAACTTAACAACATGTAACATATAACAAATCATGTAAAAAAACATGTAATATATAACATGTATTATTTATAGAAAGAATTGCCAGGTTAAAAATCCTAACAACGATAAATTCTATAACATAACATATAGAAAAAATACAAATATACGTTATAGAATTTAACATTTCTTTCTGATTTTAGTCAGAAATAAATATAAATATCAAGAGAAGATCTACATACAGTTATTGTTAACAAATTCAAATAAAAAAATTCTCAAGATATCACAAAAAATTTACATTAATACAATCGTTGAACTGGCTGAAATCGAGAGGATTTTTCCGTACAATGGATTTCTTGATGGAACACGATAAGACAATACGTAATATCCGTGAATTCTATTTCCATCCTTTACCCTTGGAAGACGTATAATGGACCACGTGTTTGTAGATCGGGATATGAACAGGATATGGTTTCGCCACTGGCACAGGGAATTTCTTCTCCACGTAAACGGGATATGGCTTTTCCACAACATAAGGAACCTGTGAAAAAATACAGTGCTTTGTGATACAATCAATTTGGGACTTTCTAATAATTGTGAAGAATAAAATAAACATATTAAAATAAAGAGAGAGAGAGAGAGAGAGAGAGAGAGAGAGAGAGAGAGTGAGAGAGAGGGTGAAAATAGGAAATTAATTCTTTTTATTAGATTAAAATTGTTTTAATATCTCTTTTACTCCAATTTAGTATGATTATAAGTTGGGAAATAAATAAAATATAGCTTAAAAACATAAGAAATCGAAAATTATACTTACATGCTTTTCGATAACAACTGGCTCTGGTTTTTCAATGGGTATCTCGACGTGTTTAATGACTTCCACTGGGTATGGGTGAGGGATTTCGATTGGTACCTTATACGGTTGAGGCACTGGTATTTTAATTTCTTTAGGCACTTCAACAGGCACAGGATGCGGAATAGGTATAGCTGAAACAAAGCAATTATGCAATTGCATTTACAATATTATGCATATTTTCTTCACAACTTCTATCCTCTACTTTAAAAATAATCAATTGCATTGTGATGATCCAATAAAATTAAAAAATTTAAATTAATATTATTAGAGAAGAATAAACTTACCAAATTTCTTAATAATTGGAATTTCCACAGTTTTTGTTTTCTCTTCATATGTTGAACCACCATGATCCTCCTCCAAATGGCTAGCCAATACCATGTTGCCAAACAAAGCGATATACAAGAAAATCTGCAATTTTACATAATTTATATTTTGTTTTATAATATTTATCAATTTTAATATTAACACAATGACAATTTAAACACACAAGATGCTAATTATTGCTATTATAAGACTTTCAATAAAAATTTGGAAAAAGTATTACAAATCGTGTTATTTTAATAATTATTTTATTTTTAAGAATAATTGTAATCATACTATTGCTACAATAAGCATAATATTTTTACACAATATATAAGTAGAGTTCTCTTTTTTTATATTGTAATAAACTGCCACTTCTTTTATTGTATCAATTAACACTGTTTAACACATTAAACACACAATTATTGCACGATATGCAAGTGAATCTTACAATTATATTCATGTTGATTGCTTTTATGGGACTAGTAATGCGAACACGAGAAATCAAGCATTGAATGACTATGTCCTCCAAAGACCGACTTTATATACGACTTCAATTCCACCACCTTTCACTAAAATCCTGATAGAGTTCCAATTGCCCAGGATATATCACGTTGCATTTTGCATGTGCAAGAATATTTATCGAAAGGACTCTATCCTATTAACAAGATAAATATAAAAAGATTATCATGCGTACTCACGTGAAAGACTATCTTCTTTCTTTGGAGATGTATCGGTCCATTACGATGCGACATGCATCTTGCACATAAATTACACTATGATTATGTATGTATATTACAAAACGATGAGAACAAAGAAAGTGTATATAGATGATAAGAAATTTGTGACTTGGTTGCGCCAAAAACTACTTTACAAAAACTACTTTTTAGAAATTAAAAAACGAACATATAGCCAATTAATAATAAATTATTTTTATTTGTATTAATTTTCTTATGATAAGGATAAGATATTAACTCATTGTAAATAATTCACAATTTAAATCAGAATTTAAGATGAAATTTAATTATATCTTAAATTGTCATTTAAATTGCATTACTTATTTGGAATACTAAAAGCATCAAATAGCAATGGTTTTAATACAATACTTAAAATAAATAATTAATTATCGTCTTTCAATATTAAATTAATGAATATTAAATTGGCCAGTATTAAATTTCTGTAAAGGCTATCGAAAATTTAACATTAACGTTTAGATTAAATTATATTGTGCGTGTGTGTTGATACAAAATTATAGAAAATAAATTATTAAAAATTTTTAATCTATTTTTTTCTTTTTTGTACATCTTTTTAAAAAAATTCTAATATAAATCGATATTTTTTTATCATAGTTTAATTATAAGTTTAATTATAAGTTCTGCAATATTAATTTGTTTTAGATTGTTATATTTTAAGTGTCTTACAATATTAATTTGTTTTATATGACATAATGTATTTTTATTAGAAATAATCACGATATTCTAATTTCATTGTTCAATAATGTATAGAATAAGCTAGTATTTGGAATGTAATCATTCAATTAAATTAAAGTAATCATTACATAATTACCATGGGTTTAACTCAATTGTTCAAGAGAATACAGCATACAGCAGACAGATGTGTAAACGTTAAGATATTCCGTGGGAGGACAATTATGGAGATATCTTTAGGCAATGTAAACGAGCATTATTGTTATTATACATTTACCGGAAGTGAAGGTACTGTGCATGTACAATCTCCGGGACTTTCCGACATCCTTGTGGAGTGCATTAAATTATGTTAAATGACTAACTTGACTATGAATGGGTCTAAATTTATGATCAAACAACGAAACGTTTCGGTTGTTACTCTATATAATTATTAAATTTCTTGAGACAAATGATTAGAATGACTAACCAGAAATATTTTTTACCACAATGATTTGGCTTGATAAACATAAGAAAGGAACGCCCAACGGATATATGAATTTGATTTCCATTCACTTACATAAATGCAAATCTTCCGGAAGTCATACAGCAAGGTAGTTCCCTCTGTATGTTGTTCTTAGATTTAACTAGGAAGTGAACGCAAAGCATACTCCTACTAGGAGAGACGTTTCCAGACGATACATTTTTTGATACATTAGAATGAAAGTACGAAACACAACGCCCCGTGAAAGGGTTCCGGCCGGATCGAAAGACATTCAACATTCGACTGTGAAAGGCGACGTGAAATAATCTTTAAAAATGGATTAATACTTGAAGATATCCGATGTTCAATAACTGATATCCGATAAAATAAAAAAAATTATGATATACAATAAGGAGTTTGTTGCATCTGCAATATTAATAGCAAAAGAACAGTTTTCGAAAAATTCGGGTTGAATAAATTTACAACCTTAAGCAAATAAATGCATATCTTACCTTATTTTTAAAATCTTATCCTCAATCCTCTAAAACAAATGTAAATATTAATATGTCAATGAGGAAAAGAGGACAAATTAAAAAAATATTTTTACATTTAAAAATATATTTAAATAACATTGTTTAAAAAATATATTGAAACGATATTAGATGAAAATATCGAAAAATGTTCACACAAATAAATACCTTCTTCAGTTAATACAAGTTTTAGTGTTTAATAATGTTTTTTACGTAATTTTTTTATAATTTCATGTTCAAGCAAATTGCGCGCCGTTTATTTGTTGGTCTTGAAAAAAAAAACAAAGTCTTGACAAAGTCTAGACTGAAACTGGAGTATGAATATTATAAATTATAAATTGACAAGCAATTTAATATTACTAATAACTGAGAATACATTTTAATAACTAACTATACTATTATGCAATTATTTATCAATAGTATATAATTATTTATCAATGGCTCACAATTATTTACCATATATTTTTATTTTTGCTTATTAAATACATCGAGATGTGCAATATCTTGCAAAAAAAAATAATTAATTGCAAAATAACAACTATCAAAAACATTTACTAACAAATCATTAGCAATATTGTAATGTTTTAGTTTTTATACAATCATGAAATTCTACTTTCCTTTAATTATTCACGTGGCAGGTTTATCATACATGAAAGGAAATGTGTTCCTAATGCGTGGAGAAACTTCATGACTTTGAAACGACGATCATCTCAATTAATGTCCACGATAGAATGATATTGTTAATTCGCTCTCATGGAAAATTGGACGAATTTACGACCGCTACAACTCACGATCTGTCACTCACGGGAGTTTTGGTCTGCGCTCTAATTTGATCTTAATTAGTCATCGGTATACTAATGTCGCAAACGAGCACTGACCTACAACCTCTGACATTGGAGAAAGTATGAATTCGGTCGTGCTTTTTAAACATGACAGAAATTACATTGAAATCAATTAATCTTCATATGTATCTTTTATTATTATATCAAATAATGTAACCTGAAGCCTTTTTGTAATAATATTACGTAAATATCTATTACTACATAATAAATACTTACGTAATATTAATTTAATAGTTCAAAATAAGGCGATTCAGAATAAGAGAAATACACACACACACACACACACACACACACACACACACACATACGCGCACACGCACGCATGCATACATATATAATATATAACTTTGTGAAAAAAGATTGTTTAATAAACATTTAATTTAAAAAAAATTAAGATAGGGATGCAATAGAAATTTTAATTAAACAAGTTAAAAATTCCTTTTGAATAGAGAGGTAATGCACCAGAAGATAATCTCATAATGTGAGAGCGAAGTTGAGGGAAAGGGAAAGGGGGAAAGAGAGCATTACCACGGATTCATAATTCTTCTTCAACACATTTAAATAACGAGCATAAGTCAATAAGAATCCGCCGGAAACATGGAAAAAGGAAGCTAGCAAGGAAGTTCGTGACGGGAAGGAAAAAAGACTTACAGCGAAAGTAAAGTTCAAAGTCGATTTGCTCCGCCGACAATCATCATGATCGTGTTGTGCCGCAAAAAGAGGAACCGCCCGTTGGTGATTGTATATTAAAACGCTCCTTCCTGATTCATACTAGCCTCAGGTTACCTACTCATACGGACGTAATGCGTGTATCTACAAATGTATCCAATCGATTGGCTTTCTCATAATTGAAGGGAGCCGATTTCTTCCTGCATCATAGAGCAATCGTGTACAATTATAAATGTTACAAGCTGTTTATAGTTTGCTTTAAAATAATACACGTACGAAGTTGTATTACACTGTATCTATTATAAGATCACAAAAGTCCAAGTGGAATGAAGTAATCTAGAATCAGCTCTTTTCTGTTCATGTAGCTTCTTTTACTTCTTAGAATTCTCATGTCATTGAGATACGAACATTAAGATAGTTTAACGGATATTATGACTTAATCAGAGATGATGGTACGGAAATGTATGGAATGGTAAGGTTTACCGCAATCATTTCAAGTATTACCCAGACATCAAAGTACTTCGAGTGGTATGACATTTTTTGTTACGTGTCGCGAAAGATCATTCTTCCTCCTTTTACAACGACCAAGACCACCAACATGATCGGAGAAAGACTAAATCTACAAGATTTCCCTTTCGCTACTTTAAATCACTGTTGTGCGTTCTCCATCGTAATTTTGTATTCTTTGGCATGTACAGGAAGAAGGCTTTTGTTGTTACATAATTTTTTTAATTTAAAATTCATTTCGACTTTACGTTTGCTGTCTATCTCTTCTTTGTGTTGGGGTGTCTTGTAATTAAAATATATTCTATATATCGCATGCCGGAGTCTTTTCACTTTCAGCTACCTTAAAGAATGAAAGATGGAATTTGCACTTCACTTTCATATTGGTTTTGCCCACTCCAGGTGCTCTCTTATTTCCGCCTCGCTTTTACAAAAACAAAATTGCATGAAAGTATTTATTGTATAAATTTAAGTAAAATTACTGAGAAAATACAAGAAGAAATAGAAAGTGCGAGGAGAAATAAAGAAAAATATGCAATATAACATGCAAAATGATATTTTTTTTTACGATTTTAAGTCTTTGCGTATAGTGAACATTATGAATATCTACGAGACATTAAAATCAATTCTTAACTAACTTGACTAAAAAATTACTTTAAATTAATTACTTTACTTGGACTTCATATTTTATACTAGACAGATTATTTTTATGAACATACTCTTTTATGTGGTTTCCGATAAGTATAAATTACTTCAGAATCGCTTGAATGAAAAACGTCTTCGACAAGATATATAGGCAGTTGTGGAAAAATAATCGCGAATTTCCGTTCTCGCATCATTTTATTTTCACATTAGATGGAATCAATCACGCAACTTTTCCGGATCATGATCATTTAGTGATCATGTAAATTTAACGTTCAGCAAGAATTATTCGAACGGTGAACTTTTTGTCGCTTATTATCAAGTTGGCTAATCACAACTGTGTTAGCATGCAACCATTTGGCAAATTATGTTTTTATAACATAATTTTATACTTAGGTGTAAGCATCTTTCTCATGATACTTGGAAAATTCACAGATAGCTGTATACGGTCGTGAAAATAACGAAAGCAAGATATTCTCGGAGCGTCACGTTGCTAATATCTTGTTTGAATTTAGCACGAGATTTCGAATAGCAGGTCTCGAATCACCATGTTATCATTTAAATTATATTTAAATTTTACCGCAGTTTTTTACTCGTCAGTTTAACCTTTAAAACATTGATTGGAAAAAGATATATTTATGTTATCTTTAGCAGATTTATTTGACAAGCACTATAATACAGCATACTAAATAACTAAGTATCTTTTATATGAATGTTTTTGTTTGTTAAATGTAATTATTAAATTTAAATCTTGTCTTTTCCAATTATTGTGAGAAAAAAATGTTCATGATATAATTATACAAAAATTTGCATATATAAAAAAATGTTTTAATAAAATCTTACAATAAGTAGTAGTTACAGTTCTGAGGTAATAAAATAAAACAAAATTTTTTTAATCTATTAATGCAAATATTTTAATAAATAATTGCACTGTGTTACAGTATTGTAAAATATTAGTCTCCTCGTATCGTGTATATATTTTCTATTAAATATATAGAATAAATCAATAAAACAAGGAGAGATCATAAAGCAAAGACTCAATGCTTGACTTTATGCACGATGGTCTTGTAGATCGGAATCTTGATCGGAATTGGCTTTTCGACCGGTACAGGCACATGTTTTACCACGTGAAATGGTACCGGCTTCTCGATTTTCACCGGAATTATTTTCTCGACAGGCGTCGGTATCTTCTTCTCGACGGTTTTAATTACCTGCTTTTCCACCTAAAAAAAAAAGAACAAAAGGCTACTTTCAGCAAAGGGAAGTGCAGATTTTATTGCAAAAATGAAGGTAATTATCGCATAGTTACCTGGAATGGTACAGGCTTCGGAACTACCAGAGGAACAGGATAAGGTTGCGGGACCGTTTCCACTACCGGATGTGGTATCTTGATCGGAATTTTCTGAACCGTCGGTATCCCTATTTCACCACGAATATAATGCGACATGAAATAAGTTACTTGAAAACTTTTATTAATAACAAATAATTTTAAAGTAAATAATACAAAGCATTATACAATAATAAACAAGCAATTATATAATATATATTTAATATATGATATAATGTTATAAAATTATTATTAATATATATATATATATATATATATACTAATAAATTTAAATTTATTATTAATTAATTAAAATTACTCTTTAATTTTAGTCGTAATAGAAGTAATTTGGCCAGCTTATCATATCTAAACATTTTAAATGTACAAATATATTTTTATCTAATATAGTAATATTCTAATAATCATTATTATACAAATATAAGATTAAAAAAGTCAAAGTAGCGAGCAGATGTCAAATTAATAAAATGCATACACATTTAATAAATTTTAATCAGTGGAATGCTTCGGCTCAACAAAGCTCTCATAAAGCAAAACATTATTTAATTAATTTGATCTGTTTATATACTCATTTATTTTGATCTTTTCAACTGTAAGTATATTTGCATTTTAATACAAGCCATTTTTATTATTATGCTTAATATTTTTACATTAATAAGATCCATGTATTTTCTTATTATAGCATATTACCGATATGTTTAACCTTGGGAATGATATTGACTCCGTGATGACCGCTGGTGGCCAAGTGCCAATCACTAATTTTTATTGGTGAATGATCTCCCAATAAATCTAAGGAATGACTTTCTAAAATTCAAAACAATTTGTCAGCATTTATTTATCAAATCGATACAACAAGACACTTACGTGATAAGCTGCATGACACATATATAATTATAATTATCACAATAAATCGATCCTATACTGTTATCGTTTATACAACTTTTATGCATTAGAAAATACATTCAAAGATAATTATGGGATTAATAAGCAATTAAAAATATGTGTTCAAACCTGTTCCTCCCAAGCCATAATGATCTAAAGAAATTTCTCCCAGCGTAAGTCCACCACCGTCATCATGATTTCCAAAGTTCCAATCGGAACTGTAAGAACATGTGATAACTCCCAACAGCACAATCTTAAACATGAAACCGAATTTATGAAAAACATGATTTATCTTTATTACTGTCAAACTTTAAATTAAAAAGAAATTAATGGTAAATTTATATGGTTGCACAGATCGCAAGAAACGCGTCTCACTTAGGTCCAAATAATTGAAGATATAATAATTATTAAACACGAGATTGTGTGTCTATATATTTTATTACATTTTATTACATAACCAAGATGGGCCTTTACGTACGATTTTTTTCATTTTTTAATTAAGGTATCTATCGTCAATGAATAGATAGTCTACTCTCAGGACAGATTCTTTTGTCGTCACTTTATATACCACCTACGAAATGTATATATATATGTATACCCCACTATTCTTTGAAATGCACCGCAATTCGCTCGATTGGGGAACTAATCATTTGCAGTCACTATTACGCGGAAATGTTACATAACATCTAATACTTGCGACTCCGTTCATAATTATTGCTTTATCTTCTTATTAACTCATATTTTTTAATTTATAAATTTAATTCTTTTTTCTTAATCTTGAATATACTATATGTGTTTTGTATAAACTTTTAATAAAAAATACTTTTTCTTTAATTAATTTTAAGCAAGATTAATCCAAAAAAAAAACTTTTTAAAAAATTAAAAATATATTTTCCGAGGCTTCGGAAAATTTTATATTAATATTGTAAAGATAATGATTAAGAATGGAATATGGCGCAGCGTTTTTTAAACGTTAAAATACCATAAATAGTGTAATATTAAAATATTGAAGTACAATTTTTTTAGCAGTACTTTCATTTTTTTTTAAGAATTTTTTTATTCCACAAACTCGTGAATATTTATTTGCGAATATCTTCTTGATGTTTTCTCGGTTATTTTTTATTGTTGAAAACAGGAATTGACAGATTCATCTTGTTAGATACAATGCTGTTGAAGTCATGGATGATTTGTTGCATGCGACCACGGTGATCCCGTACATTGCGGGCAAATCAATCTGTCTAACGTTCACTTTCCACAGAATTCCCGTGCTTTTATCGAAAATCACAGTGAAAGCCTGTCACGAGCACTTCTCGCGACCTGAGGAACACATACACTGAAAAAAAGATTGGTTGCTGCAACAATTTAGATAGTAAAATATATTTTTATATGGTAACAGCAACCAATCTTTTTTTTTCAGTGTATGAACTATAATTGATGCTTGTTCTACTACTACCATTACTGACGTAAATTTCTTACGAATTACTTTTATTAAAAAATGACTAGATTTTACAGTAAAAAATTATTTCGCATTACTCACAAGTTAAGGGAACTTAAATCGTACACTGAAAGAAAAGATTGATTGCTGCAACAATTTAGATAGTAAAATATGGAATAGTATTTTTATATGACTGCAGCAACCAATTTTTGGTTGTAGCAGCAAATTTTTAGTTGCATTAATTTATTGAAATCATGTACTGATATTTAGGTTAACGCAACTAAAAATTTGCTGCTACAATCAAAAACTGATTGTTGCAGCCATATAAAAATACTATTCCATATTTTACTATCTAAATTGTTACAGCAACCAATCTTTTTTTCAGTGTAACTTTTAAAAAGTAATTCGAGTTAAAATTTTTCTCCTTTGAATTTTAGTTTTAGGACGTATATGTAGACTTTAAAGATTTATAATTAGAACGTATGTAGACTCTAGAGATTTATAATAGGTTCTAATCTAATGAATTAAGCTCCTACGTTAAACCTGTAAATGGCAATTATCGGAAAATTTCCTATTTTTAAGTTCAAAAGAAGTTTTCTAAATAAAAGCTGTAGATTAAATAACATTAAAAGACCTATTTGATTGTTTAATTATCAAAACAGGTTTATAAGGGAGGTTTAATTGAAGTTGAGAGATTGAAAGGATTATAATTTCGACTCTCAGGATAATGGATATATAATATTATAATTAAAAAAATAAATATTAAGTTAATGTATTAAAAAATTTAAAAAGTATTATAAAAATAACATGGACAATAAATAAAAATTAAAGCATAATTTTTATAATTTGAACATGTACTTATTAAAAAGGGACAATAAATAGATATTGAGCGATCAGATACTATTAGAATTAAAATGTACATTTAAACTGTTTATATTATTACTATACGTAATAAATATTGCTAGATTTCGGACTCACTCGAGTCGTTTATCATTATATAGCGAGCAATAGGAACGACAGTCTTTAATTATATTTATAATTTAACTCGTTATCTTAATTTTCTATCTCAGCACTTTCTGACGTACATGTAGAGATAGTAAAAAGCATCTTGACAACAGACTTTCACTTAATAAGAACAACGAGAGTATTTAGTTTTGTAAGCATTTTATTTAAAAACGTAACAGAACAACAAAACGTTAAAAAAGTGGCTTAACAACGCGCTAGTTGCGCTGACGATTACAAATACGCGTATATACAAAAAAATAAAGCAGAGTCGAAGAGCGCTCGACCAAACGAACATGGGTTGTTTTTCATAAACTTTCTCCTTATTGACGGCATGTAGTGCTATGAGGATTTGGATAGATAAACGTGCGTCAGTTAAGTTCAAGTTAATCAGTTCTTACAGTTTCTTTCGCAAAGTTACTAGCGTTTAAAGTTAAATAAGTTTCAAATAAACGGCTAGTAGCTGATACAGCTGAATTAACTCTGAGCAATCCAAGCACTCAGTAAATTATTTAACTATACACATAGTTATTTTTTTTAGAGATACAGAGCGTATTTGCTCTTTCCAGCAAAAGTAGGGCTGCTGTAACAATGTCTTTGAGTAAAAAAGAAGATATTTTCGCAAAGTACGCATCCTCTCGATTCTTAATCATACTCCAATTAGTATTTTTAATTTAAATGTTTCAGCGTGCTCTAATCGATGGGTGCGGTCCACTTAGTGTCTTACAAATGCAAATGCCTTGAAGCTTCCTTTTGATTAATCAATCAAAAAGAAAAATTTTACTAATTACCTAATCAAAGAATTAACTGAATACAAGAAGCATTAATTACGATCAAAGTTAGATGTTGGACTAATACATATGTATTTTAGATAAATTTCTCAGAATCAAAAAATGCTTCAAAACATTTGCAGCATCAAATGGACTGTAGTCTCTAAAATTTACTCGATTAAAAGATGTGGATCGCTAAGAGTTATTTCTAGGATGTAATTCACTTAATACTACAAATGTTCCGAAGTATTTGATTAACCAATCAAAAAAAAATTTTACTAACCAATCGAAAAATGCTTCGAAACTTTTGTAGCATCAGGTAAACTATAGTTTTAGTGTTCCAAAATTCATTGTCAGCACTATAAAAATCTATAGTTTACGTTACGTGCGAAATAGATTTTCAGCACTGGCGAATTTTAAAACATAGCCCTAGGCTATATATACCACGTTCTTTCCTATCATAGAAATCCTCCATGCCGTAGGCACTTTAATGCTTCTTCGCGTGATGGTAAATAGTCTTGTAAACGGGAATCTTGATAGGATATGGCTTCACGACTGGAACGGGGATGTGTTTCTCGATTGTGATGGGAACTGGCTTCTCGATGGGTATCGGTATGTGCTTCTCCACAGGGTAAGGCACTTTTTTCTCTACCGGGACCGCCACCGTCTTCACGACTTGTATGGGAATATGCTTCGGTACGGGGACGTGAACGGGATAAGGTTGCGGAATGCCAACTGCTACTGGATGCGGCACATGTATCGGCACTGATTTCGGGACCGGTACACCTGAAAAAAAAAAGATTCAACAGAGATAAGAATGGATCTTTAAACTATAAAAAATAAAGCGAGCATAAAGAATACTTGAAATTTTTTAACATATTGAAATTTATACTAATGAAGAAAATAAATGTCGCGAGTTTTTGTGGATACATAATAAGAGACGTTGACTAATTAAAAATTATACTTTTGTTTTTTTGTCACATAGTCTCAAAAATAATAGCAAATTATTAACTTTTAATTGCTGACATAAATAACCAATAGTAATAATAATAATTATGGTCTCCAAACTGATTCTCCATAATTATTAGCAAAGGAATGACTTTGTTATAAAATTATAATTTCTAATTCTATAACTTTCAAGTACAACTCGCAGTTCGGAGAAGATGTAACAGTACGTTACCAATGTGTTTGTAGACTGGTATAGCAACGGGCTTTGTCACTTCAACATGCTCAGAAACAGGAACACTGTGAACATAATTATGTCCGCTGTCCAGTGAGATTCCATGGCCACCATCTCCACCAGTGTGACCACCATCGAATCCGCCAGAAGAGAAATCCTGATGACTGCTCTCGAGACTACCACCGGATTCTAGATGCCCGCTAGCAGAACTAGCTTCGAAACCACCCCCATGGCCACCCCCGATATCACCACCTCCATAACCACCTCCATAGCCACCTCCATAGCCACCTCCGTAGTCACCTCCGCCGCCGGAAGTACCGGAGATTTCCTGATCAGATCGATCAATTCCATAGTGGCCGCTAAATAACTGCAACATGTAATGCCTTCCATCTTGGCCGAAGGTTATCGGCGTAGCCGCGGCCAAGGACACCAAAGAAAGCAGCACCTGTAAAAGATACATTTAAAAAATGGAAAGTGTAATAAATAACTCGCAAAAATCCGTTAATATGTGACAATATATATAAATATAAAAAACTTTTATCCTTTTTCCAATTAATTTATTCTATACAATATAAATTAAATATACTGATAATATTATATGTAGTATAACAAAAAAAAATTAAGTCGAAAGACAAATTAATAAAACGTACGTATAAGATTGACACGATCTTGTCAGAGAATAACAGATTTATAGTCTAATTTCAATTCAGCATTTTAAATTACGTTATCGGAAATCAGCAATTTACACAGTACTTACTATTCCGCTCATGCTCCCACGTGTTTCTATTAGTGCGCTTCAAGTTGCAAGTAGCGCAAGTCTCTAGAACGACTGATACATCTTCGTCCATTTCTCGTCTTAATATACCGTGAGGCCTTTCACTGTAGACGATGTGATTTCGTCTCGCTTCGCACTGAGGCAAATTATACCTACCCGGTGCAATTGTTTCGCTGTAGTCTATACTCGGCGTGCACGTGAAAATAATTGACCGTGTCCTCGCGGCCTTCACATTGACAACGAATCGGACATTTCCTATTCCGTTGTACAGGAGAGCGTCTACGAATGCGGATTTCCACGTTCACCTGGGTTTGCTGTCTACCACACCATCGTTAAAACAACGTCTGATATGGAAAAGTTTGTTAAATTTATACGTCATTCGTCACAAAATCGTCTATCACGCTTCATTTAATCATCTTAATTTCACGATTTAAACCAATCGTTTTTAGTCTCTTCTTATCACATTGTTATACATAAGTATGAAAAAAATGTCTTCCGCTATGCCGGAACAGACATCTATTCTAATTGTCTAAGTACGTATTTAATTTTCCCGTTATATTTGATTGTTACACTTCCTATTGATTACTATTTGACAAACAGCTATAATGTGATTACGTGTTAGTATTATAATTAAATTGTTTTTTACATTTAATAAAATAAATAATAAGACAAAAATTCAAAAATGATTTGTTAAAAAACTACGTAAAATTTTCCATTTATGTATATTCCTATATATAACAAAAATTTTTATAATTAAAAAATATTAAAGTAAAAGTTATTTATATTTAATATAACGATAACAAATTAATGTAATTTACGTCTATTTTATTCATCCTTTTACCTTTGTAGTCTCATTATTTCTAACAAAATTGATAACCATCTTATGTGACAAATAGCAATATAATTGCAAAATTCGAAAGGCTAATTTTAGTGTACGTGTATAACTTCAATTATATGTGAAGAGAGCATAACGAATGTGTGGATGATATACCCAGCTACTCCGTAAATTAATTTTTTAATATTATAATAATAGTAAGATATAACGTAGCTCCTAAGTGAGCTATGTATAGTTCCTGATTTATGGAATTTTCCTTTAAACTTTCAAAAGTCTGACGAGATTCGATCTTGGTAGAATCTTATTTAAAAAAAGAACAGAACTTAATTTTTGTAAAAGATAAAATAGAACAAATGAGAATTTTTACATTAATTTGCCAAAATGCTTATTATATAAAATAATCATGCATGATTTTCAATAATGATTAAATCGTGCATGCTTTAATTTACATATAGATATTATGTAGTTAGAGGCAATCAAAAACAATTAACTACCAGGTGAATGCATATCTCTTGTAAATCATTAGAAAGAATTGGATATAAAAGGCAATCATATACAGAAGCAAAATTAATAA